CGCAACTGGTGGTTTCAAACTGCTGACCTTGTACTTAGCAGCCCAATGCTGAATTCACTGTGCCACCAGAACGCCCCATCCTTGGTCCATGGGTGGCAAAAATGGTTAAATGTTTAACTACTAACTAAAAGGCTGGCATTTTGGGTCCACACAGAGACATCTTCAGAAGACGGGCCTGGCGATCTGCTCTTTAAAGGTCAGGCCCGGAAAACCCTACGGAGAAGTTCCAGGTCCTGAGTTGGAATCAACTCCACAACCACTAACAACAAAGTCCTTCCTCCGACATGCCGTTTGCACCTATTTACTCTCATTGTGTGTGTAGCTCTTCTTAGCCTCCTAACAGGGTCCTTTGAAGAAAGAAAAGAGCCCTGGTGGCAGAGTAGCGACCCAGTGGGCTGCTAACTGCAAGATCAACAGTTCAAAACCACCAGCTGCTCTGAGGGAGAAAGATGAGGCTTTCCACCCCCACAAAGAGTGGCAGTCTCAGGAACTCACAGGGCAGCTCCACCCTGTCTGATAGGGTTGTTATGAGTCAGCATCAACTCGATGGCAATGAGTTTGGTTTTGGAGTTTTAAAGAATGAAAAAAAATGAACAGTTTTATTGGGATATAATTCACACATCATACAATTCAACGGTTCAATCATATCAAGAGTTGTACAATCATCACCATAATCAATGTTACATTTTCCTCATTCTTGTACTCATTATTAGCTCCCCACCCAGCCCATTACTGCCCCCAACCCCAAGCCTCACCCCCTGCCATGCCTCGAAGGAGCCATCTGAGGAAGCCCAATTAGCGCCTTTCCCTTGGATGGACTGTGTTTTGGGTATGAAGTCTCAAGTCTCTTTGCCAGGGCCTAGATTCTAAAGACTTTTTTTCTCCCAGAAGTTTTCATTTTATGAAGCACATTTAAATTTGTAGTCTATTTATGGTGAGGTAATTTTTGCATACACGGTGAGACTGAAGTTAAGGTGCCTGTGTCTTTTTGTCCAGTTGTGCTCTTGCACTATGTTTTAAAAAGCTGCTTTTCCGCTATGAAATGTCCTGTTAACTTTGGACACAAATCAACGAGCATATTTGTATGGGTCTAGTTCTGGGTTCTCTGTTCTGTTCCATTCGTCTATGTGTTCATTTCTGACCAGAATCACAGTCTGAAAATTGGGTAGACTGATTCCTAACATTTTATCCTTCTTCTCCAAAATTGATTTGCATAGATTCTTTGCTTTGCCATATAAACTTTAGAAAAAAATTTGTCTATCGCTACAATAGCCTTGTTGAGATTTTGAAAGGAATTGTGTTAAGCCTTCATATCAATTGGGGAAAACTGACACCTCTACTAGGATGAGTCTTTCAATCCATGAATATGGTGTGTCACTCCAATTTTAAATATATTTTTCTTTCATTCATCAGTGTTTTATAGTTCTTGGTATGTAAGACCTGCACATTTTATAAAATCTACACTTAAAAGGAAAAGAAAAGCAGTTACAAATGGTATTGTACTTAGCATGGAGAATAGGGAAATGTAGGTCTACTTCATCTTCCCAGACGTCAGTCTCTATATACAAACATATATATATATATATAAACATTTGAAAGCCTTGACATCTGTATTTTTTCCTCTCTCATTTGATATACAATTTTCCTTATTATATGGACAGAGAACCTAACTGAAGAGTGTTTTTTCTAGACAATTTACATTGGCCCCTGCTAGGAGCCAAGGTTGCCTTTTAGGTCATTTTTCAAGGGCCCTGGCTCCATACAGGAGCCTCAGGTTCCACTTCCAGTCTCGTAGTAGGGGTAAAGTTTCAGGGTTAGTAGTCTGATTCCAGAGTGCTTACTGGTATTTGTACTCCAGGACATTTGCCTACCCATCTGTTCCATTTCTGCTCACAGTTCACCTCCCCTTTTCCTTTTTCTAAGAGTGTTGGCACACCTTGAAGATTTTCCTTGTGGCAAGCCCAGAAATACTTGATAAAACTATGCAAAATCTGTATGAAGCTGTGTAAGAAAAATATGTACAAATATCTAGAATCTGTATTGTGGCAAGAGAACCAAAATAACTATCAAGCTGGAAACCTTGTATAGAGGATATTACTTGGCAAACCACCGAAAATACAGGAGTCCTCAGGTTTGCCAGATTTTAATTGCTCTTACTTACTATTTCTTAATAAAGTTATCATTTTAAGTAGATAATACGCATTATTAGAATAATATTCAATCTTCCTATCTACTACTACAAATGTGGGCCTTGCTCCTGACATTACTGTAACTGTGCTCTGGGTCACTGACAAATCTGCCTGAGAACTAGGAATTAAGCACAGGAAGGAAACTAGGAAGGCATGCCTGAACACAATGAGGTGGGCCAGCCATAAAACATGGTGCAGCCTGTTTTCTCTGACCCAGCCTGACTACAGGATTGCTGCCATAGTCTGAAAATGACCTTTGTCGCGGCTTCCTCGCTCCCAGCAGCCTGTTTCACAGGAGCAGCTTGCTATGTCCCACAGAGACCTAAGTGTTTTGGGGACAGCAGGAATTGCTTCATTTGAGACTCCTCCGGCCTCTCCTGAGTCAGTTAATTCATTTATAGCAGGGGTGCTCACATTTTTTCAGCATGCGAGCTACTTATAAAATGATCAAGTCAAAATGGTCTACCAACTACAAAAATGCAAAACATATATTTATTTTATTACATTTATTCATAAATGCATTGAGAATTCTTTATATGTACAATGTATGTTTATGTACCTTGCATAACCGCATGAGTCCATATTGCACAACACAATTAGCTCTGTACATTTTTTGTCATTACCTGAGTTTACTCTGATGACTTGCACTGAATGGAATGAGCCAGGGATACATAGTTCGGATAGTAGCTTGGACTTCATGATCTTTATGTGGGAAAAGGCTGACTCACATAAATAAGTAGAGCCGAATCATGCAGTCAAGGAGGTAGCACATTTCCTCGTGTTGGGTACTTTCCCTCTGAGAGTAAATTCCAGAACTGCTCATGCGCTCTGGACTTCAGCTGAATGTCGGCTTGTAGTGTCAAAATCTCCCATTCCGTATGAGAGTGATACGTTTTTGGCTTCTTACTTGGTCCAGCTCCCCCACTCATTTTAATACCCTTTCTTACATTTAAGAGAAAAGAAACAAGGTCTAAACATTGGCGATAACTTAGCTTGTCAGCTTTGCTGCACTTAGTGCAGTTGTTTGCACGTGCGTTTGACACCTAGGATTGCATCTGATTGGCTGCGCTGTATACCAATTAAGTGACGGGATTGATGATCGGCCTATGTCTGTTTTTTTAATCTACCCACACTACATTTACACTCAACTAGTAGATCGCGATTGACGTAATGAGCACCCCTGATTTATAGTCATCATTTCTTGATAAGCCAAGGACCAAGTTTTTTGGAGACCATGTTTGCAAAAACCATCTTTTTATAATCTTACCTCTTTTGCTTTCAAATCTTGCTCTAAGGGTGACCCTGGCTGCACGGAGTTTTTCAAGAAGAGCAATCACGATGGTTAATACTTACTTTGTTCCTGGCTGTGAGACACACGCCCACATGTACATATAATATACAGACATGTGAGTATATAGATTAAAGATGTTTAATTCATTCAATCACAGTAACTCTAAAACATAGGTATCTTGATTATCCTCACTGTACTGGCAAGGAAACTGAGGCACAACCAAAGCCTCTGACAGGTACAAGGGATAGGACTGATAACTGAGCCCTCTGTCTAGTTCACAGGGTCCCAAACTTATTTGACCTATTTTGCCTTTTCAGGAAATAAATTACTCAGCATCCCCCTGAAATGGAAAACTTTTGTACGATAATCCAAGATAGCATAGGGGTCAATTTTTATAGCCCTCTGGATCACTCCAGCACTGGCCCCACCTAGGGAGGCGGGATCACCCACTTTGGGAAACACTGATAATGCTCCAGTCTGTCCTCTATTAGAGAATACATGTATGTGTTTACACGTATTAACATATATGTCTATGTATACCAAACCCAAACTCGCTGCCATTGAGTAAATACTGACTTATAGTGATCGCACAGGACAGGGTTGAACTGCTGCTGTGAGTTTCCGAGACTGTAATTATTTACAGTTGTAGAAAGACCGTCTTTCTCCCTAGGAGTGGCTGGTGGTTTTGAACTGCTGACCTTGCAGATCACAGACTAACTTTAACTGCTCCACCACCAGGACTCTTATGTATATAAATGTGTGTGTGTGTGTGTGTGTGTATCTGTGTATGTCTTAACTCAGGGGGTGCTGAGTATGTAATTTAACATATAATTTAATTTAGCCTATCTCAGTTTTATGTATATTATCAAAACATGAAATACTAGTCTTGAGATTATCTTTTAGAATAACTCTAGAACAAACTATTATAGAAATAGAATAGAATCATTCTCACACTGAGGATGAATGTAGAGTTTGGGAACATATATAGCCAAGAACAGACTCACTATGTGTGACTGTTTGAGTCTAACAATATAATGAAATGCCATCCTTTAGTGGAGACAGCGGGTTCAGCCATAAGGACATTTATTCCCCTAAAGAGAGCAGACCATCTTTCATAGTTTCAAAGTTTTGTTGTCACCTGCCTCTGCAGTTCGCTTGCTCTTAGTAAACCGGATTAAGAAGCCCAGGCAGCAAAGAGCCGTTCACCAGCGCCGCTGTTAAGCAGGCTACCCCTTTCTCTTTTGCTGCAGGGCAAGGATGCATTTAGAGCCAATTCAGGAAAATGGTTTTCAATGTTCAGAGAGAAATGTCCAGCATCCATTTGCCATGCATTTGAGTGCCTCATGCACGCCCCCCCCCCCCTTTAATGGTCTAATTCCTACCCAGATTCTGTTTACAGGCTGACAGCAAGAAACCACCCGAGGGAGGCGTCTCTCCAGAGGAGGGCTGAAAACACGGCTATTAAGCAGGCAGTGATCCCAAATCTCTGTTCCCAAGCATTCAAGATGTCTTATGGATACTTTTGGAGATACTTTATTAGCACACAAATCCTTGGATACACTCTATTGTATTGTTCTAATGATTAATTTCTGCTTCCCCTTTCTTGATCATATCTTCAATTTCCTCTGAGAGCTTTCCTTTGAAGTCATTTGTTTCTATGGCTTTTAACTTCTCTTGATACTCCAAAGGCAAACCATTTTCTTTTGCACCCATGCAAATAACCTAGAAATGGTTAGAACACACAAACAAACGAAAATTAGCATATCACAGCTTTATGTATCATCAAAACATGACATAGTCTCCTTGAAGTAAATTTGGAGTAACTCTAGAATAAACAATTATAGAACAAAATGGAATCGTTCTCATACTGCACCTGAACATTGAGTGTGTGTGTGTGAATGTAAGATGAAAACTTGTCCTATGGATATAGTCATTGGTCTCTAAGCTCCTGGAGCAACAGCTGAAGGGAGAGACTCAAGAACTGGAGGAGGAAATCGTTTGTCTGTTTAATTGCCTCCAGGAACCTTCCCTCCTGTGAGGTCAGAAGAGACGGACGGTGCCCAGCTACCATTAGTGATGTTTTGGTCTTGATCAAAAGGAGGTACGTGAGCAACAGAACTTCCAATTCCCACTGGAAACCAGACTTACCGGACACAGTGGGACTGGAGCACCCCTGAATCTACGGCTAGGAAACAACTTGTAAATCTGAAGCTGAAACTATGTTATCAGGCCGTATCTAAACTAAACAACCATTAACTCAATAAATAAAGAATCTCTGTCTCGAGCCTTGCATCCTATTGAAGAATTGCTTGTGCAGGTGTATCTCTTCTTGATTTGGGGGGTTCGATTCTAGATGGTTGCAATAAAGAGAATATCACAAGCAATAGCATCATGAAAGAGTTTGCAATATTGTGAGAATTACCAAAAGAGGAAACAGGTATGAAATGAGAACACACAGTTGGAAAAATGGCACCCCCAGACTTGCTCAGCACGGGCTACGAGAACATTCCATTTGTGGAAAGAAAACGTGCCGCGTGACGTGCAGCACAGCAAAGCGCAGTAAAAGGAGGTCGGCCTGCATAAGGCTGAAAGAACAGCCATTCGAAACCACCAATGGGAACTTCAAGGGGCGGAGAGAGCGAGATGTGACCGGGTGAACTATACACAGAGACTGCCCCGGGGATCCCCAGGCACTCTTGTGTTGTGCATATCTCCAAAAAAGAAAAGGAAAAGTCTGCATCTACCTCTATATAGCAGTCTACTTCGATATAAGTGGGGGAATGGCAAAACATTCGTGGGAAAAATCCATTATTTTAAAATTCCATTTTTATATGGACTTTTTGGAGCTGCTCTCTCACATGAACTTTCCAGGGAAAGAGGACGATTCTTCAGAAAGATCCTTACGTTTATCGGGAGCAGTTTCCGTTCCAGTCCTGCAATCCGATCTTACTTGGAATTAGACATGAGGAGGAAAACGAATAGTGATCGTGTACATGACCCTTCCAAGACCCACAGCAGGTGAATTCCTCTAAGCCCCAGACTAGAAAATGCCACATTCGGCCAGGAAGCTGCACCACCATCCATCGCAGGTGGCAGGTCCCGATTGGGTCTGAAAACAGGGAACTCCCTGTGTTTGAACTCCTGAGAAGAGAAGTGGGGTGTCTGGGCTCCAGCCTTTCCAGTGTCTTCAGTCTAGAAGGCCTAGGACTATTCTTGCTCTATCAAAACCAAAAAGAACCCACACTCACTGCCAGCAGCTGATGCCGACTCATAGCGACCCTCCAGGGCAGGACAGGCTGCCCCCGTGAGTCACCCGTCTTTCTCCCTCTCCCTCGAGAAATGGAAGACATTTCAATAGTCATGGTCAGGTACCAGTGAGGCGGCCCCACAGAAAGAAAGGTCGCCGGTCCTGCACCATCCTCACAGTTGTTCCTGTGCCTGAGCCCACTGTTGCCGCCGCTGTGTCCATCCATCTCCTGGAGGGCCTTCCTCATTCTTACCCCACCCCTGCTTTAGGAAAGACATTTTTTTCACCATGAAAATGAATCTTGGGAGTTCAGAAACATTGTGGGGTGGAGAACAAAAGAAACCAAAGATTATAAGAGTATGTCTAGAATAAGGAGCCTGGGGCCACAGGCAGTGGTGAAAGTGCTTGGCTGCTAAGTAGAAACCCACTCACTGCTCCCGGTGGGAAAAGGTGGCAGTCTGCTTCCACAGAGATCACAGCCTTGGGGACGAATCTGGGGGCAGCTGCGCTGTCTTACGGGTTACTGACTGCAGTGCACTCTGGATGTAGAGACCAGAACCCTGCTACCAACACGCCGGGGCATGCTTTTTCCTACTCTGAAAGGGAAAACACATCATTTTCACCACAATTTGAAAAGTAACACATGTATGGAATTATGACTCATCGTCTCCTTCTGTGTTCAAAACGCTTTTTCTTTTTTTTATTCAATAAAATGTTAGAAACACGGTTCGATGGTTATATGTGAGTCCCTACAAGAGTTTGAAGAAACTCGTTTGGGAAATAACTCACTTTTTTTGCATTGAAAATTATATCAATAAAAATGAGTTGTAGAATTTACAGCAGCTCTTACAAAACACAACAGTTGTGAGTTTACTGCATGAGTGAAATGTGGACAGACATCTTGGTAGCAGGCTCACCGCTTTATACTGTGGTGATGGAGGGACACTGACGTAGTTTTCCATCTGGTAGCTTCGACAGGTTACTTCTTTCTTGTCTTCGGTGTGAACTTTAACTTCCATGGGAGCATATATTCCACTGCTAACCCCTTCTTGCCTGAAATCAGAAGCCACATTTAAGCCATAGTTGATTTACTCAGGTTCTTTTACTGGGTGATATCTTCTAGTTTGTTGGGGTTGAGAATTTAAAAACAATGTAGTAGTTGTTCCCTATATTTAAATGTGCAAATGAAAACCAGAAAATTCTTAGAATAAGCAGCGACAAGGCTGTCAGGCTTGGCTTTCAACAATGAATTCTCTAATCACAAAAGCGCAGATGGAGAGATGATAGACAGACAGATGGATCAATGTGACCTGATAGAAATGAAAATTTTTGTTCCTCAAAAGACTTGGTTTACCAAAAAAGCAAACTTGGAGAATATTGTTGGAAAACACATATTCGACAAGAATCTAACAACCAATGTATGTATAAAACTTCAACAACATAACAACCAAAAGGTGAGTGATCCAATCATAAAATGGGCGTGCGTAGGGCCTGAACAGATGTTTCACCAAAGAGGAGACTCATATGGCCAACCAAACAGTCGAAAAGATGCTCAGCCGCATTAGCCATCAGAGACGCAGAGCAAGACCACACGGAGACACCATTACCTGCCTGCTAGGATGCTTAAGATTAAAAAAGAAAAACAGAAAATAGCACATGTTGGCAAGGATGTGGGGAAACGAGACCTTTTACCTCTTGCTGATGCGAATACAAAATGGTACAGCCACTGTGGAAAACGGCGTGGCGAGTCCTCAAATCACTAACATGACTCAGCAATACCCCCTCGGTAAAGAGCCAAAGACTCCAAATGAGGCGTGTCTGGGGTCGTCGGCTGTAGCTCGGTTCAAGTGCTATTCAGCCAACAGGAGAAATGAAGTACTGATACCTGCCGCATGACGCTGAGCAAAGCAGTCACACAAGGGCCAACAGTGCATGGCCTCCTTTAGACAGAGGGTAAGAATGATGGGAAAGCCACCTTGATTAAGGGCATGGACAGTTCACACGTGATTAGTGTAATGCTGTCAGCAGTTGCTATAAAAAGTTGAACTGGCAAAAGTTGGGTGGTAGACAACTACAATGACGGGAGAAAAAGATTAGCTGCTGAGGTGCTTGTGCACAACTAAACACCTTGTGGGGTCTGGCTCCTTTGTCATGGCACATCCCAGGTAAATGGTCTAATAACATTTTCAGTGCTTCTAATCTACCTCCTGGTCCACTGCATAGTGCCAGGGGTCTTACAAACTTGCAAGTGGCCATGCGAGGCAGAATAATTGGTCTCTATTTGCCTGTACCAACAGAGGAAGGAGGCAAGAGAGGTAGAGGAGGAGGAAATACAATGTATGATTCACGCACGGCCTGCCTCCTTTGACAAGGTCACAGAAAATCTGGATGCTGCCCAGCCACCCCCACTGAACATTTAGCTCAAAGATTCCGGAGAAGATTCCTTATCAAAAGAGGGGAAAGACAAGAGAGAAGCCCAATTTGTCACAGACTCCAGACTCCCATGAGTCATGAAAGGTGAACAGACCCGTCAAACGATTTCCCCGAGATCATCGTTAAGCCTTGGGTCTTAAATATACTCTGAAGTCATCTTAACACGGACAGCAGTTTAATGGAACGAGTCAAACAGGTCTGCCTTCAACATCACGCTCTCTACGAACCTCAGGGGCGGTGAGTTCATGTCCATTAGTTAGGGACCACTCAAGAAACAGAGCATGAGAACGGCCCCCCACCTGGGGAAGACAGGCAACATCACTACATTGTGTACAAACTGTTGGAGTTGAGGGTGCTTTGCTGTGTATATTCTCAACGACAACTTTTCTTTTAAGTAAACTTATTATTTTAATCAGAAATCCTGAGATTTAATGGTAACTTGGTGCACACCTAACAAATCTATATTCATCCTGCCTGAAAACAGGCTTCAATGCAATCATTTAAATCTTTATACTCCCTAAACGTGCCTCCGACACAACAACAAATGGACTCTAAGTTCCGACAGCACAGGGAGGCCCATCCAGGGAAAAGGTGAGAAGACGGCTCATTGTTGTTGGGGGGTGAGAGAAAGGTGCTAGCCCAGCGCCGGTTCTCAACCTGTGGGTCGAGATCCCTTTGGGGGTCGAATGACCCTTTCACAGGGGTTGCCCGATTCACAACAGTAGCAAAATGACAGTGATGAAGTAGCAACGAAAATAATTTTATGGTTGGGGGGTCACCCCAACATGAGAAACTGTATGAAAGGGCCGTGGCATCAGGAAGATGGAGAACCACTGCTCTAGGAGGACAGAGAATCCGCTCTTCCGGGGCTCTGCTCATTCTCGGCTACTTCCTTTGTATTCACTGCCGGGCCGGCCTACTCAGAGAGTTCTAGTTATGCAAAGTATCACAGCGTTTCAAAATTATGGTTATTGCTGTTTTAATGATCATCACCTACTAACCTAGCTGCCTACTCAATTACCAAAAAAACGAAAACTGGTTTGGGATCAATACCCATATGTAAACGATTCCAACAGTCTTCCAGCTTTTTCACAATACAAAACTAGAGACACTTTGACAAAAGACAAATAAATAAACTGAAAATAAGGGCTGTCCTTGTTTACAGAAGGAAGGACAAACAGTCCCACAAGTCTCAGTCTGAGAGTGTGGCTCTTCCAGGCCTTTCTTTTTTACAAAACCACATTCATATGCCTCTTCCATTGACACGAAAGGGCAAAGACTGTGCCTGCAGTATTTGGTTTGGAAAAACCCACACACATGTCCTGGCACATATCATCCACTTTCTGAATTTATTAATTATTTAACTTATAATTAGAAGTCACCTACTTATCCAGGGAACTTAAATTGCTTTTGTTCATTTTCCATATTACTCCCCACACTTCATCTCCAGGACTGTGGAAAACGGTAGCTATACCCCCATGCCAGGTAGGACTTTGATTGCCTTGAGGATTGCCAAAGTCAAGCTTAAAATCCTAGAAAGGAAACCAAAGGGATATAATTAACATCCATTCAAACCTCAATTTCCCTCTCCAAAGTAAAAGGATTTACCTTAAATTCCATGCAATTAAAACATTCAATAAACTCTGAGTATAATACAAACATAAACAATTATCTAAACCTCAAAGACTTTTTCCACTGCTCCCCCCTCCATATTTTCTTCACAAAATGAAAAGTCTACTAAATATATACGAGTGTCTTAACACTAAAAAGATTTAAGGAGAAAATGATGGAAACACCACGGCCTTCACACAACTCTTTCCATTCTTTTTTTTTTTTTTACAAATTATTTCACAGTCCACTCACGAAGCATGTATTTTCACTTAGAGAACATGATAGTTGAGACTCGATGATGGCTACATAGGGGTTTATTACACTATTTTGTCTGCGAGTTACACATTGTACTGATGGTCAGCAGTTCGAAACCACTGTCTGCTCTGCCAATGAAAGATGAGGCTTCCTATTTCTGTAATAGTCTTGGAAATCCACAGGGGCAGTTCTACTCTGTCCTACAGGGTTGCTATGAGTCAGAATCAGCTCCACGGCAGTGAACTTGAATTTTCTGACCAGCATATGCTGAGGAGTGCTGGTAGTGCTGTCGGGCAGCGCAAAGTCGTTGGTTTAAATCCACCAATTGCTCTTTAGGAGAAAATGAGGCTACTCACCTCAGAAACCTACATACGGCCACTCTGAGTGGGAATCAGCCACGTGGCAGTGGGTTGGGTTGGGTTTGGACCAGCACAAACCACCATCTTTGCCCCAAGGGAATTGGGGCTTGAGGATGATGCAGACACTTATGAACATTCAACTAATATTCTATTACTAGTTGAATAACTAGTTGAATATACTAGTTACTATTACTAGTAATTCAATCAATTACTAGATTTCCTAGAATAATCACAGAACTGCCACTTACCATGTACAGGTGGTTGTATGTGCGTGTGTGTGAGTATATGGTCGAAATATAGATAAGAAAACATTTACCAACTCAATGAGTTTTGCATGGACCAGTCAGCGCCTGATTGTATTTATCATGCGGTGCAACCATTGCTGGTATCCTTCAGATGACCACATTTTATCTTGCCAACAGCTTAAATTTTTTTAATATACTCATTTTATATCCAGAAAAAGTATGGCTTAAATAGATTAAGCCACTTGCCTGAGGTCTTACAACAAATAAGGAAGGGAGCCAAGTTTCTAGCTTAGCATCTTTCCTTATCAAAACAAACAAGCACACCAAACTCAATGCCATCAGTCAATTTCAACTCCAGTGGCCCTGTGGGCAAGGGAGAATTGCTTTCGTGGGTCTCCAAGCCAGTGAATCTTTACTGGAGCAGAAAGCCTCATCTTTCTCCCTCAGAGCAGCTGCTGGATTCAAACTGCTGGAATCATGAGCCCAATGCACAATCTGCTGCACCTCTGGGGCACCTGTCTTTCTTCACTGAAGTGTATGACCAGGGGACAGACTCCTGGGATGATGAATCACAAGGAAGGGACCAGCCAGCCAGGGTGCAGGATAGCACTGACGAAACATACAACATTGTTCTCGTTCTTGAATACCGCCCCCCCACACCTCCCCTCATGACCCCAGTTCCACCTTACAAATCTGGCTTGACCGGAGCATGTACACTGGTACTGATAAGAGCTCTCAACACATGGAATCCAGGACGGATAAACTCCCTCAGAAACAGTAAATGGGAGTAGCGATACCATAAAGGTAGGTGGAAGGTGTGGGGAGAAGGGGGAGAAAGGGGAAACTGATCGCAATGATTGAAGTCTAACACTCCCCACCCCCACCTGAGGGGGACAAACAACAGAAACATGGGTGAATAGATTCAGCAGATGGTGTAAAATATGAAAATAAAAATCATTTATAAACTATCAAGGGTTTACAAGGGTGGGAGGGGGGAAAATGGAGCTGATCCCAAGGGCTCAAGTAGAAAGAAAATATTTTGGAAATGATGGCAACATATGTTCAAATGTGCTTGATATGAGTGATGGATGGATTGTTATAAGAGCTGTAGGAGCCCCCCAATAAAATTATTTATTTTTAAAAAATCCTTAGTTGGCTTTTTTAATACAGAAAGATTTTGTTCCATCTTCCCAAAGCGCAGTTTCCTTAAACAACAAACCCCTCAAACTCACCGCCATCCAGTTGAGCTGAATCACAGCACCCCTGGAGGGATGCTGCCCTGTGAGTCCCCGAGACGCTCACTCTTTATGGGAGCACAAGGCCGTCTTCCTGCCTCGGAGCAGCGACTGGTTTCCAACGGTGGAGCTCGAGCTATCCATTGGTGGCACAATGGATAACTACTACACAACCACAACTCCTTAGCAGCAAGATTTTAAAAGGATGGACTGGACTAGACCAGTCACTGACCCTTAATGTCCCTTGCAAATTTATGTTTCATCCCTCCCACTTTTCCTCTCCCAAATTTTGTCAACTGTTTCAAAATAGTATTAAGCACATTTGTACATATGTTGGCACCAACCATCCAAAACATTTTCTGTCTACTTGAGCCCTTGGTATCAGCTCTCCCCACCCCACCCCCCTGCCCCTTGTGAACCCTTGATCAATTATATATCATCATTGTTATTTTGTGTCTTACACTGTCCGTTGTCTCTTCACCCACATTTGTTATCACCCCCCTGGGGGGTGGGCTATATATACAACCTTGTAATGGATTCCCCCTTTCTCCCCTTTCCTACACCACCCCCCCATGCTCATGATATCGCTACTGTTTGAGAGGGTTTTATCTGTCCTGAATTCCATGTGCCAGGAGCTCTTATCTGTACCAATGTGTGTACTCCAATCTAGCTGGGTTTGTAAGCCAGAGTGGGTCATAGTAGTGGTGGGGAGGAAGCATTCGGGAACTAGAGGAATGATGTGGGTTTTGTCGGTGCTATACTACACCATGGTCAAATTGTCCCTTCCTTGTAACCCTTCTGTGGGGGGATGTACAATTGTCTACAGATGGGTTTTGGGTCCTCTCTTTTACATAGATATAATTGTTTTGGAACTTTTGAATATCTGATACCTGATCCCGTCGACACCTCATGATCACACAGGCTGGTGTGCTTATTCCATGTGGGCTTATTTGCTTCCCTGCTAGATGGCTGCTTGTCTAACTTCAAGTCTTTAAGACCCCATATGCTATATCTTTTGATAGCCGGGCACCATCCGCTCTCTTCACCACATTTGCTTGTGCACCCATTTTGTGACAGTGATCATGTAGGGAAGGTGAGTATCAAAGAGCGCCAAGTTGTTAGAACAAAGTGTCCTTATGTTTAGGGAGGTCTTGAATAGAGGCCCAAAGTCTGTCTGCTATCTCTAGCCTCTTCTCTTTCATTATAAATTAATAGATTTACACATATACATGCCTATAGCTATACCTCCATACCTAGCTTTTGCCTCCTAGTTCTGCCCTCTACTTCCTTTCACCTTCCTCCTCTCCCATTATCATGCTCACCTTCCATTCGGCTCTCAGTAATTCCTCTGATACATTACACTTGACCAAAGCCCACCAGGCATTGTACCCCGTCCTCACCATCAATTTTAGTTCTCTTGTTGTTCCCTTAACCCTGAGTTTGTTGGCTCCCCACACCTCCTCTCCCATGTCCCCCTGGGAACCATCGGTCTGGTTGTTTTCTCCTCAGGATTGTTTGTCCTGCCTATCTTATATAGACACAGGCCAAAAGGAAAACAAAAACAACAAATAAATGAGAAGAAAGTTCTAGGTCTGTCTGCTGATCCTTAGGAGTGTTTTCCAGTTGGGTCTCATGAGGTGCCAGGCCCTGTCCCCTGTGTTAGAAATCCATTTTCAGGATTCCTTGGGACTTTGTTGCTTTGCTCCCCCTGCTGTCCTGTTGCACTCCCTTTGCATTTCACCCCACTGTGCATGGGGCAGACCGGGCACACTTTCCGCACAGGTCTCCAATGCTGCACCCCTGTAGCTCTATGGGTCAGTGAGGGAATGTGGTGTCTCGTGGTGGGGCTGGCCCTACCATCCTCTCTGTGCACTGGCTCCTCCGAGCAGAGATGTTGTCCCTGGGGCTTGGTGGGCTATAATGAGGTTCTCTCTCGCTCTCTTTCCCTCTTAGCTCACACCCGTGTGGTCTGGACAGACCCACCACTCTCCCTGGGCTACATCTTCAGTGCTGTCCTCTGCGTTACATTCTTCTGGGGAGGGGGGGGGTCAACATAGCTCAGCTTGGGCCAGGCCCCGTCTCGTCCTCTGTAACAGTTCGCTGCTTCCTGCCAGTATGTTGCCCTCAAGGCTTGGCCTAGGCTGATCCTTGATCTCAGTTCCCTTAGCAAAGCCTCCTCCACTGCCTGGTCTCAAATGTAGAGCTTCTCAGGGCTCAGCCAGACCATCTCCCTATTCATTCCTCCAGCGATTTGTTCAAGAAAATCTCATCCCTGCCAATGGCTTCAAACACCACCTACTATTCTCATTATCTGTAACCCCAGACTAGAGCTCTCATCTAGTCTGAACTTAAAACATGCTTAGAACAAGGCCCAACAGGTAGTAAAAGTAATACTAATAAAAGTTGTTGCCTAAAAAAAAAAGCCAAACTTGCCCCCACTGAGTAGATTAAGCAACTATGCAACACAAAGCAACTGAGATCTTGAAGGTTCACTGTGCCAGCCT